AGTCCTGCTCTCAAACACCCCAGGTCTGTGTCAGTGACCAATGTGAGCAGGACTCATTCAGCACCGTAACTGTTTCGCCGTGTGCACCGAGTTGCAGGTTCTGAGGTTCTGACACCGGTGGTTACATAAGTCTATCTTCTGGGATGCAACGCCGTGTAGGCCGCTGGAAGTCAACCTATGTCTGTCATCTGCTTGAGCCGTTTATTCTTCGATCCTGAAGATGGAGGCGATATGTTCCTCCGAAACGTCGGTTCATTCTCAAAGGACTACACGTTGTTATATCCCGGACGACCGAAATCTCTATATACGGTAAAGCTGTCCCTGTGCTCAGTTAATTCCGTACCACGCCACGAAAACGTAGGGGGGAGTGGACGTACAGCTCCGCCATTCTTCACTTCGACAGTCGATGGAGGTGAACGGCTAACTTCACGCCCCGGCCGATTTACCCCAGGGGAAATCGCCCAGGTGCCCACTGGATAGTAGGCTGGGTGGGCGTCAGAGACCGTCTGGACATTGTGGAGAAGAGAAAAATCTTACCCTTACCGGGATTCGAACCCCGGCCGTCCAGCCCGTAGCCCGTCGCTATACCGACTGAGCTCTCTACACACGAACCAACTGACTCCGTGGCGATGGGCTCATTTTCAGAAGCCGGCAGTCGCTCAGCCGCTCAAGGATTTGCCAACATTGTATGGGACCCGAAGGTTCATTACCGTGTTCACAACAGCCCTCCACTGGTACATATCCTGAGCCAGATCAATCCACTCCATGCCGCCCCATCCTACCTCCCTACATTCCATCGTCCACTCACCTCTGTCTGGGTCTCGGCCTTTTTCCTTCTGGCCCCCTTATCAATATCAAATAAGCATTCAAATATGCTACATGCCCTGCCCATCTCATTGTCCCAGTCTCTATGAACATGAGACATTTTGATTCTAAACAGTTCTTACAATGACACTTTACACTTAATACTACTGCATTCTGGGAGCCTGCCCATCGGCTGGTATTACGAACACACCATAACGTTTCGACATCTGGATCTGTTTCCATCCTCAGGTGAGAAACTACAGTCGACTGGGTCCAATACAGAGATCTACCCTGAACCAATGGAGGACCCAACTAAGTTGGCACAGGTCCCACCTTTCCCCCTGAGGATGGAAACAGACCCAGCTTCCGAAACGTTACGTCACAATGTGCAAAGCCACAGGAATCCACGGGTACTGAACTGCTGACAGATCAGTACACTATACATTTGTGGAAATCAAACGCTATTTCAGCAACAGCCATCTGAAGACCGCACCTTCACCTAAAGAATGCTTAACAATTCGAAAATTGTCCAGAGGTCAACAATTGTGTCGCCTTCTCTCACCTTTGCTTCATTATCTAGCCAACTACATAAAATTTAAAGGGGGGGGTGCACTGGACATAAGATGCGTACTTCAGCTTTTGCTCAAAATATTTTGCGATACGAACACAAACGCGTTAAGTTCTTCATGCAATGTGGATCCCCCTTTGTTCTCCGGGTTTAAAAAAACTTGGGTACATATCGACAAATATTTCTAAAACTCCTCAAAAGGAGCCGGGATAGCGCAGTCGGTACAGCGACTGGCTACGGGATGGACGACCTAGGGGTCGGAATTCGAGTCCCGGTAGAGTCAAGAATTTTCTCTTCTCCACGTCGTCCAGACCGGCTCTGGGGTCCACACAACCGCCTATCCAATGGGTACCGGGGGTAAAGCGGCAGGGGCGTGAAGCTGACCACTCACCTCCAACTACTGCCGAGGTCAAGAGAACGTGGCTCTATACATCCACTCCCCCATACGCCTTCATGGCGCAGTGCACAAATAGTTAGGCACAGCGACAACTTTCCCTCTACCTCAGCACCAAATTTAAACAGAATTCCGTCTAGCAGCGCTGAAACCGCTGCACGCGAAACAGGCGAATGATTTGGGGCGCGTGTTTACCTGCTTCTCCCCGCAAACGCGTAACTAAACTGCGATAAAAGAACACGACGTTTCGGAGGTTGCACACGTATTCTATGGCTCCCCTTTCCAAAGCACCTGTGACGAGTCTTGGCGATCCACTGATCTATACAGACGTTTCGAGACGGCCATACGACTCATCAGTTGTTCGCTAATGCGACTTATAAAGGTTCATGGGAAATTATATTAGCCGACGGAGCAGCTCTGCCGCGAAGCCGGTCTCCAAATCAACCCCCTATTCACAATATGAACAAGGTCCACAGAAAATACATCAGTGCTCTGACCTGCTTTGAAAAGAAACTGGTTAAGTTGCAGAAAACTGAACTTCACGGGGGCGGGATGGGGTAGCGGTAATGCTCGAGGGGGCGCGGGTTCTCGGTTCGATTCTCTGTCTGAGCACCAGTTATCCTGCGTGAAATGTTTCTAAGTTTTCGTTCGTCTGCCTCACTGCTTCCGTCTGAAACCTTTCAAATTCACAGCTCACCAATCGTGCAATCGTTCGCTGCTACAGACAGCGTCCCTGGATGAACTACACATAAGTAAACAGATAAATTCGTAAAAAATGTTTCTTTTGTGCGTTATTTTATGACTGTCAGACTGCAGAGTCGAACTGAGGGTCAGAGATAAATTATAAACTGGAACGAATTTGGAAACAAGTGGTTGCGACCTGGAGGAGCTGAGGAAAACCTCTAAAAGCCGATATCCCAACCGAGATTCGAACCAAACACCTCCCAAATGTAATGTTAACACAAAAACAGGAATCGTCAACAAAAAATTCCGCCAAAGGGCCGTCAACTTTCATAAACACGTGCTAATTTGCAAAGATTACTTTTAATATTATCCTCTCGTTAACATATCGGTCTCTGCAGCAGGCTTTTCACTACGATCTGTTGCCGAAATACTCCACACAAGCCATGCGCTTTCACTACTGTGGTCCCTGCTCCTGCATGAACGCATGCGAGACTTAGCCAAGCAACACAAGGAAGCGCAACTGATTCCAAGCCTAATAGTTCTCACTTAATTTAACACAATACATAACTTAAACTAGTCACTACCAAACACAATACAACCAAACTCACTTAATTTAGAACAATGCATGACTTAAACCAGTCACAAACACAATCCAGCCCAACCAACTTCGTTTAGCCCAACAATGCATGACTTAAACCAGTCACTAACACAATCAAGCCCAACCAACTTCGATTAGCCCAACAATGCATGACTTAACGAGTCACTACCTAACACAATCCAGCCCAACCCACTTAAGTTAGCCCAACAATACATGACTTAAACCAGTCACTAACACAATCCAGCCCAACCCACTTAAGTTAGCCCAACAATACATGACTTAAACCAGTCACTAACACAATCCAGCCCAACCCACTTAAGTTAGCCCAACAATACATGACTTAAACCAGTCACTAACACAATCCAGCCCAACCCACTTAAGTTAGCCCAACAATACATGACTTAAACCAGTCACTAACACAATCCAGCCCAACCCACTTAAGTTAGCCCAACAATACATGACTTAAACCAGTCACTAACACAATCCAGCCCAACCCACTTAAGTTAGCCCAACAATACATGACTTAAACCAGTCACTAACACAATCCAGCCCAACCCACTTAAGTTAGCCCAACAATACATGACTTAAACTAGTCATGTCCTAAAACAATCCAACCAAAATCACTTAATTTATAGACTTTAAAGGACTTTGATGATGGTGTATGTTGTACAGAACTATTAGGTTCGTTTTGGACTTTATCCATCCTCTGGTATATATAAGACAAAAAAACCACAAAGTTTCGGAGACTGGATCTGTCTCCGTCCTCAGGTGGATGGGTCAGGATATACCTACTCAGTTGGGCCCCTTAGATTGCAGTGACTGAGACTAGCTCTTTCTAAGGGNGAGTCACTAACACAATCCAGCCCAACCAACGTCATTTAGCCCAACAATGCATGACTTAACGAGTCACTACCTAACACAATCCAGCCAAAAATGCATAACTTAACGAGTCACTACCTAACACAATTCAGCCCAACAATGCATGACTTAAACCAGTCACTACCTAACACAATCCAGCCCAACCAACTTCATTTAGCCCAACAATGCATGACTTAAACCAGTCACTACTTAACACAATCCAACCAAACACTCAATTTAGCCCAACAATGCATGACTTAAACCAGTCACTAACACAATCCAGCCCAACCAACTTCATTTAGCCCAACAATGCATGACTTAACGAGTCACTACCTAACACAATCCAGCCCAACCAACTTCATTTAGCCCAACAATGCATGACTTAACGAGTCACTACCTAACACAATCCAGCCCAACCAACTTCATTTAGCCCAACAATGCATGACTTAAACCAGTCACTACCTAACACAATCCAACCAACCCCACTTAATTTCACCAATCATTTCTAACCTAACCGATAAAGAACTACCTTAAAGCCAGAACCTAACTGGCCCACCGATACCCAAATTAATAAACTCTTCACAGGCCGTGCACCTGCTTAACGAATGGAACCCCGAGACAAGCAATCCAATCCATACAAGTTACACAAGTCACTTACAGGCAGAGTGTGAACTCTGTTAATGCAACGCTAATTTCATCAGATTTGAATGCATTCTTCTACGCAACCACAAGCTCTGAAAATATGAAATTTGGCACACATGGAGCTAAGGATTATCTTTACAGTAAATTAGTTTGCGCAACATTTTTGACATTTTTTTTCTGAAATTCTACTTTCTTAGAGCACAGATAAAAACATACACGTTATCACACTCTGGTGACATACGCATGCTCGCATATTTAACAGAACACGACACGCCTTCTCATGGCCTATGTACGTGTTTCTGCTGGATTACGGACGACACACGTGGCACAGTGTTGTCACGCGATTCGTCCCTAAGAAGACGTGAATTTAAGCATAGAACCATGTGGTGTGCAGAGCTTGTGTTTACTGATGAAACCGACGTTGCGTAAAAGGAGCGGGGAATCACCCTTACCTTCCAGCTTCATGCCGACCTCGAGACACTTCTGGAACCGGCAGTAGGGGCACCTCTTCCTCTGGGTCTTGTCTATGTGACAGCTTCTGTCGGCCACGCACGTGTACACCTTCTTGTTCTGCACGGTCCTCTTGAAGAAGCCCTTGCACGACTCGCAGGTGAGGAGCCCGTAATGGTAGCCCGACACCTTGTCGCCGCACACCGGACACAGCTCCTCGATGCCTTCCTTCGTGTCGGGCAGATCTGCGGGGGTCCCCGTCATGCCCGCCGCCACAGGATGCTGCGGGGACGGTTGGTAACTACCGGCTGCCACGTCCATCCCAGGCACCGCGGCGCCCCCTGCCGGGAACAGATACGAAGTGTCCAGGTTACCCATCATATGTTGCTGCTGTTGTGGGGGAGGGTGGGGGTGGTGATGGTGCTGGTGCGGGTGCGGGTGGTGTTGCTGCGGCTGCATGCCACCCCCCATGGAGTACTGTCCCAGCGGGGGAGAGCCATACAATGGGGGCGGCATCGGATTGTTATTGTGGGGACTGGCACTGGAAGTCATTGTTGCTACACCACCATTGCTACCGTTGCTACCGTTGGGGCTCAGACTAAATGGAGACATATTGAGCGAAAGAAGGGCTGGATGAGGATCCATTTCCAATAACATAGTCTGCAGGGCGTTATGTGAGTAAACACAGCACTTAGGTCGTCAGCATAGCCGCACAGGCAGGGAACGAAGTGAGACGTCTACACGCCGATCAAGCAACAGTCCACTAACTGCACTATTCCACTAATAAATATAAGTATCGCCCCGAAAAAGGGAAAACAGTTGCGTAATCACAGATCCCGGGGAAGAGCACACATCTGACTGCAGTAAGGTTCACTTTCACTGTTATCCTCTACTCCATCCCCTGTTAAGGGGACGGATAAACCTCACAAGTGACAGAAACCCCGACAGCACGTGGTGATCCGCCGTGTTTCTCCGAAGATGATGCTTAGGTTCTGAGCGAGACAACCTAAACGATATCTGTGAATCCATGTAAAGGAACATGAGTCGGTTGGATTCACATTAAAACCAGACACAGCCGCACACCGCGATGTATGTCACAATCACTGCACGCGGCTGCACACCTGTCGGCCGCCAGCAGAACACTACTCCGACGTCAGACCAGCTCGATTACTCAGGGCCGAGCTGGTGCCCTTTTTTTTTCTTGCTACTATTATTTGTGAGTGACGTAACCGCAACGCCGAGACCTGGCCACACGACAGCAGAGCGACGTTGTTACGGCTTCGTGTCCACACGAGAAACTGACGAGGTCGTGACGGAGGGCTGAGGTGTAACCCCAGAGCAGCAGATGAGGAATGAGAAGCCAGTGTAGTCCAGCCAGCGGTGGTGGTGATACAACGTATTACAGAGCCATGTAATAGTGAAAGTGACTGCTTGCTTGTGACCCACTTACGGGCCTATGTTAGTGTTGTTGTACATAGCGAGAGTGGAGAGTGGGGAGTGGGGGTGAGACAAAAAAGAGGTGGGGAGTGTCCCACTGACCTACTTACTACAATCCCCGCTGCAGAGGTGGCGCTGGGTCGGGTTCCTCCGCAACTACGATCGCCCCCTCCAACCGCCCAACGCGAAGCTGCTCCTATCAATACGAGACCCTGTCGAGATGTCCGTCCATTCATCAGTGCCGCCGCGCGAAGTTGCTGTGTCCCAACAGACGCATCGCGAACTCTGTGACATGATGCCTCCGTGTCCACGGAGATACCGGCAACACATTACTCTACCAGACTAAACGGCGTCACATCTCCGTACCCTGGGAACCACACACAGCTCAGTCGGTACAGCGACTGGCTGAACGACCGAGAGGTCGGAGTTCGAGTCCCGATGAGGGCAAGAATTTTCTCTTCTCCACGTCTTCCAGACCGGCTCCGGGGTCCACCTAACCTCCTACTCAGGGCCGCGCCATAGCTCAAGCGGTTAGCCGCTGGCTTCCCACCGCGGCGGCCCGGGTTTGATCCCGGGTCTGGTCAAGTGGGATTTGTGGTGAACAAAGTGGCGCTGGGGCAGGTTTTCTCCGAGTACTTCGGTTTCCCCTGCCAATCTTCATTCCACCAATTGCTCCACAATCACCCTCACGTATCATCTGGGGCTGGTACAATAGGCCAGAAGTGGCCGCAGTACAAGGGACTTAGTCCCACCCCACTAGCCATAAAAAACTCCTACCCAATGGGTACCGGGGGCTCTTTCCCTGGGTGTAAAGACGCAGGGGCTTGAAGTTGACCACTATCCTCCATGTAGCGCCGAGTTCGAGAAAACGTGGGTCTATACATCCACTCCCCCATACGCCTTCATGGTGTAGTGCTTAATTAGTTAAGCACAGGGGCAACTTCACTTAATTTTTTTACCAGACAGCCTATGTGGTGCAAACAGGGCAGCCGACAGAAACGTCACGTGTTCAAAACGCCGAGACAGAAGACTGAACTCTGCGACGGGTTGCGGTTTTCCTCAGTACCTCAATTTATGGCACGAGCGTTTCCTTTCGAAGTTCTTCCCATTTCAGTACTCACTAGCGACCCCAGCGACGCCACCACTGGACGCCATGCTGTACGCTGTGAGCTGCTCGACGCCCCCCCCCCACTCGTTTCGTGGGCTATTCAATGACGCTGTATGAACAATGCAGATTATTCTGCTTTTATTGCATAGAGGTAAGGTCAGGTCAGGTAAAGGTGTCCCTGTGCTCATGAAGGCGTATGGGGTTGCGGATGTATAGATCCACATTTTCTGTCCTCGGCACTGGCTGGAGGTGAGTGGTGAGCTTCACGCCCCGGCCCCGTGGACAGAGCCCATTGAATAGGAGGTTGAGTCTGGAAGACGTGGAGAAGACCCTACCGCGACTCAAACTCCGACCCCTTCGTCGTTCAGCCCGTATCCAGTGGCTACAGCGACTGAGCTATCCCGGCTCGTGAATCGGAAGGAATATGAAAGGAGCCGGTACAGACTTACATTCCGCCCACCTGGACAGATACACGATCCAAGGACCTTCCAAGTCCTCACTAATGAGGAGCTGCTTTCGCGGATCATTTAACGACGCTTTACCAAATACATGAATGAGGAGGAGACTCGTAACTCGCAGCATGCACCAGACATAATTAAGAACATCAATTGCGTCAAGTGGGTGGAGCATGTAGCACGGATGGGAGACACAGGAAACGCGTACGGAGTTTTGGTCGGAAAATAATCAGAAAACTTTGCCGTTGGTGTGTTGTTCCAGTTACCTAGACTATACGGCGCCAAATGGTAGGGCATATGGATGGTTGGGAACGGTTTCAGAAGGAATCGGTCGTGGCCTACTCGAGGTACCATCCCGGGGTCTACCTGGAAAGGGTGAAGCAAAACCACAATGAGGACAGATGGACAGAGCACGTCCCAAGTGCGGATGCTGACCGTTACCGCTGTGCCAGCCTCCAAAACTGTGATGAGGCTGTGCCTCTGTGCCGCAAACACCTCAAGATACTGGAAGCCGAGCCGCGATGACAGGGCCCCTAACCTCGGCAATAAAAATGGGGCACAAATACAACGCTCAAGCAGGAGAAAGCTCCTGGCTTCTGCATTTACAGCGGTATCAGTCCCCTTCGCACCAATAAAGCGCCCCTCCAAACATTAAAACGAGAGAGTTCGGTTATGACCCCCAAAATTTTATTGCTCCCCAACCCCACTGGGCTCCTTCATTCTACGCCCATTATACCAGTACATACTTGTTCATACGGAACCGACAAAAGCTCACAGAATCTGTGTCAACGATTTCCCTTTCCACACTCAATGGATAATTTTCCTATATTAGTTGAGGGGCTGTTTGTGAGGGGAGGATTCCAGAGAGTTTGCCTCCTCGGTAGCGACTGGTTATCGGAGTCTCGGGAGGAGCTCGACTTCTCTCTTCGCCGCGTCCTCCACACCGGCTCTGGGGTTCACTCAACCTCCTATACAACGGATACAGGAGCTCTTTCCCGGGGATAAAGCGACCGAGGTCAAGAATACGTGGGTCTATACATGCACTGCTCCATACGCCCTCATGACGCAGTGCTTAATTAGTTAAGCACGGGGATAACTTTGCTTTTCACGCATACCCCTACAAACTTAACCTCTATGACAGTGGTTCCCAAGCTGGGGGAGTGTGCCCCACTGGTGCGGGGGGAGGTGAGTTCATGAGAAAGTCTCAATTCTTAATGCAAATTCAGCTGACACCCGTCACAAGTCTCGGTCCCGAGACTGCAAATCACATTTCAGCATTTGCTGGCATCACTCGTCGCCAAGTGAGTACACCCAAGCATTTCGTTTTAAAGTTTCCAACTCTCTGTCCGTAGTTTTGCTACGGTACCAGTTACGGGTTAACAGTCCATAAACAACATGTAATCAAGAAAACAGTCTTTTGGGATGTTGCGCCGTGTAGATATTGTGTTAGCCGACGTTTCGGAGGAACGTATCGCCTCCATCTTCAGGGTAGAAGAAAAATAAGAAAATCCGCATGCGAAGAACCAGCGTGAGCAGGTGCTAACACTTGTTCGCTTGCGAATTTTCTTATTTTTCTTCTACCCTGACGATGGAGGCGATACGTTCCTCCGAAACGCCGGTTAACACCACATCTACACGGTGCCACATCCCAGAAGGCTGCTTTCTTCATAGTCACCGCCGTGAAAACCTCAAATCTTACAAAATATGTAACCAAGATTACAACGGATTACATTCATTTCAATAAAATAAATAACTGGGGTGTCTGGTGAAAACCGACAGCTACAGGAAGAGACCTGACTTAGCTGGAGAGGTTATACATGCTGACGCGCACTGCCAAAGTTCCAGCACCGCTATTCGCGTTGCACGGCGACACAAACTGTTCTACATACTCCGCTAGACTGAACAGTCACTTACTGCCGATATAAATCCATTTTGTCACAACGATAACAACTTTAAGAAGTCGAATTCGCCATCAGAAATAAGTTACACTGAAAACCCGAACAGATTAAAAACGAAATTAATTTCACGTTTTACCAGTGACGGTCTTGTAATATTGCGATGATATTCACATTACAGAGAGTGAAAACGTCATTTTCTTGTCATATCACACACCTCCTCCTCCTCATTTCGAATACTAATCAATTTTAAGAAGCAGACGATACCGCAGAACCGGAATTTACTTAAACATCGAATGTTGTTCTGAAAACATGAAATGGAAAAACTAACTAATGCTGGAACTCAATTCGGGTTTTAACAGTAACCAACACTGTTGCAGTTCCGTCTCATTCCTCACCTCGGCAATGTTTCGACCTGAACAGACAGACGGTAAGGTAAAAAGAAGTAAAGCTGTCACTGTGCTTAACTAATTAAGCACTACGCCATGGAGACGTATGGGGGAGTGGACGTATAGATCCACATTTTCTTGTCCTAAGCACTAGTTAAAAGGTTAGTGGTCAGCTTCACGCCCTTGCCGCATTAATCCCGGGGGAAAGAGTCCCCAGTACCCACTGGATAGGAGGTTGGGTGGACTCCAGAACCAGTCTAGATGACGAGGAGATGAGAAAATTCTTCACCCTACCGGGACTCGAACTCCGACCCCTCTGTCGTCCAGCCCATAGCCAGTCACTATACCGACTGAGCTACCACGGCTCCTAGATATGGGCGATAATTAGATTTGGGGAGGGAGGGGGAACAAATATTCTTTCCCCCTTTGGCGACACAGCCCCAATTTGGGTCTTGCCCCACCTTCATAAAACCCTCCGTTTCACACACATTCGGTAGGACTCCTTGGGCGGGTGATCAGCTCGTCGCAAGGCCTACCTGTACACAAACACAGAAGAAAGCACATACACAAACACTGAACATCAATGCCCTAAGTGGGATTCGAACCCAGATCCCGGCTTCCGAGCGAGCTACGAAGTACACGCCTTAGACCGCTCGGCTACCGTGACCGGCTAAGCCTGCATACACGCCCGAACCAAGTTAAATTATCCTGATAAGTGTCAATGCAAACATCATTCTAAATTTCAGATTCACCCCAAAGCTGATGGTGGTGGGATGAGCAACCTGGGGCTCGCGACATATTCGGCCCGACTCATGGAAACCCTCGCGTAAGCAATCTCTCGCATACCCTGCAGGCAGTGGGTAAGTAACGAAGTGGGGACAAGTTTGGGATGAACTGTATCCGGCCTACACAGCGTCGAATGGCAGGCCATGGAACGAATTGGAAAGCATTCGGAAGGACACGTTAATGGCCTAACCTAGGTAATTATTGACAGACTTGTGTAGAGAGACCGAGGAAAACCATGAAAATCCTCAGTCAGGGCAGTGCCGGCCGAAATTCGAACCGAGCGGTACCGGAATACGAGCCATGATTGTTACTATTAGACCAATCCCTTCGGTCGTATGAAAATGGAGGTATAACTCCACACAT